CCCCTGCCCGCCTCCAAACCTTCACCCCAAAAAGTGTATGCTGTAAGCTTGTGTGAAGTAGTCAAACCACTGGTACTTTTGACCTTTCCCTTGCCGAGCCTGGAACTGCCCTGCCCGCCAAAAAAAACGAACTGGCTCGGGCCTCCATTTGGCTGGCGCCGCCAGCCGTTTTGCTCTGGTAGGCTGACCTGCGAAACTTGCGGCGCGTTAAGGGCTACGTCCGCGAAAAGTGGCTGGGTGAAGTACTGGTGGTTTAAGCTAGATCCATGGCTGAGGCACAGCTAGGGAGGCCTCTGGCCTTTGGCCCCCTCCTTTAAGTCCATTATATAGACAGAACACGCTAAAGGTATATGACAATATGTATGTATCGGATCACAGATGTACTCCTGCATTATGGTTTAGGGTTTTGGGGTTTTCTGTTCCTTAATGTTGTTGTCAAGTCATCCTTCTCCCTTCCCCCCCCCCCCCTCCCTTCTGCTCCTCTCCCCATCCCATATACCACACTCTCATTTCTCCCACAGATTTTTGTGGAACATGTCAGCTGATCAAGTTTCAATCGTCTGTGTGCATTTTCAAAGTCAGTCTTGAATTTTCGGAGCCTTCACACAAGTCGGTGTCTCGGTCACAAACACTAATCTGCGGTACTTTTCCGTCATGCTGCTGCTTTTTTTTTTTTTTTTTTTTTTTGTTGCTTACCTTGCTTTACAACCGAAATCTCAGTCACAAGCCACAGAGCACCTGGCAACCTCCTACACTGACTGGCGCCCACACCTTTTCCTTCAATTGGTGACATCAACAGCATTTTCAGTTGCAACTCCACAGGACAGCAACACCCCTCTCCCACCAATTGTGACGTCAAGAGAAATTTCAGTCGCAACTCCACAGAACGTCAACTGCCTTGGTAAAGGACTGCCTCCTCCGCCAGCAGTGGTTTTGGCGAGATGCTTAATGAATAAAGTGGCATCCTGTTAAGACTGTGTCATGTGTTCAAACTTCGAACGAGTCGATTCGGCGTCTAGCTTGGTGCGTTCCTGTCTGCATTGGAGAGCGTCTTTTGCGTATTGCCTGCTTCTGATCCGCACATGCTTAACGAAAAGGGTCTCCTCCTCGCAGAGCTATTCCGGGACGCGTTTCTGCTTCTCCAAAACTCCGGTTTTCAATATGTATAGTCGACGAAACTCCGACAAAACAGTCTTTCACAGCCCCTCGTTTGTTGTCCTCTTCTCCCTCTCTGCTGCCTACGGTTTACCGGGCAGTTCTGTTTGCGGATATCTATACATATCGATTGTGACGAAGAGTCATCGGCTGGCCTGATCCTTCACTTAGGAGACTCTCAGGTGCAACCCTGGTTGATTTGAATGCTGCTGGGTTTTGATCATGTTGTTCCATCCTTGTCCTCGTCTCCGAGGTACAATAACACCAGGGTGTGTTCTCCCTCTCGTCCGCTCGAAGTCCCTTTTGCAAACATTCGGAGGGAATGTCGATAGTCCTTCGGTTCGCATGGGCCACGCTCAGTAGACAGACAGTAGCGGTGTCCTCGAGGCGCTTCTCTCAGACTGTTGGTTCTGGAGAAGAGAGGCTTGGCGGTTGGATTGGTGAGTCCTGTTCGGCCCTCTATCGCTCCAAGTCACAGGCTTGGTGCAGCGCTCATCCCAGGGAAGCCGCATCAGATGCATGTCACCCTGCCAGTGTTTCCCTTCCCCTATCAAGCCATACCTGTTTCCCTCCTCTGAAGGTGTGTGTGAAAGCTCCTCCTCGTCTATCCAAAGGTCATTCAGTAATACCCACCAGAATACCTGATGCCGATGCAGTCAGAGGAAGACAACAGCAGCGACTAGTGCTCAAGCTCTCCCTGAGGCCGAATGCCCCTGTGTTCAGCAGCATTTGCACAGAGCGGACGGGGGTTGCCGGAAGAACAACGTCAGAATTTGAACGAACGAGTCATCAAGTTTCCAGACTGGATTGCAAGAGAGTGAAGGCTTGCACACATCCCCAAAAGAACACTCTAAAACCTGCTCTTTGTGCTTCCCCGTTGTTGAAAGAGCTGCTAATTGCTCATCAGAAAGGGATTCCGGCGTCTCATTCTGCGGTGGCTTGTGGCGCAGGGGCTCGGCCGGCACAGAAAGGTGCAGTGCTTTGGCGTCGAACGCATCTCGAAAAGGGGAATTGGGTTTCCAGGTATGGTCGATCACGCATCGCTGCACAGGAGGAGCATGGGGGTGGAGCTTCCCTGAACCTGAGGGAAGAGGCTGCTTCAGGGAGCTCCTGCTGCACAAATGCAGCCCCGAGAAAACGGACATATTCACTAGTTGTGCGCTTGATAACGCCTCCACGGAGGCGGGTGTCCGCAATTCCCCAGGGGAGATTCCATGCTGCTGGCTGCAAGCGCTCCCCTTTCTTGGGCAGTAATTTGCTGATGCCTAGCTGCTGGCACCGGCATAATGTGAAAGGGCGGGTTTCGCTGTCACTTGTTAGCTGCCGTCTTCATGCAAGAAGGCATCCTATCCCTGTGAAATTGGTCGTGAACAATCATCGGTTTCTGCAACTTTTTCGCTTGCATGGAGACCGATAGGTAGGTGCTCGCACCGTAGTTGTCCTGAACAATCTGCTGAAGCGCAACTCGTTTGCATGGGATGTGACGGGGCACCCTGTTTTGCAAACTGAATTGCCTCTCAGGAACATCAGTATTCAGTTGTCTGCAGGAGGAATTTAGTGCGGGTCGGCCTTGGGTCCGTTGACTTTCTGCTCTTGCTATTTCCACATCAGAGGGAGGGGTTTGACCAAGGCGCTTTGTTTTGCAAGATGAAGCTACTCCCCAGAGAGGTCGACAAGCTTCATCTTCACGAGGCCGGCTATTTGGCGCAGAAGAGACTGTCTCGCGGTTGCCAGCTCAATTACCCGGAGGCAGTGGCGCTTATCGCTTCGCAATGCCTGGAGTTCATCCGGAACGGGAATAGCGTGAAACATGTGGTGGAGGCGGGAAGGAGGCTACTGGGGAGGAAGCAGGTGTTGCCTGGTGTGGAGTACTTAGTGACAGAGGTGCAGGTGGAGGGGACGTTTCCTGACGGAACAAAGCTGGTAGCGATCAATTCGCCGATTGAGAATATTTGCGGAGACCTTTCGCTTGCCCTGTATGGATCTGGGCTGCCTGTGCCTCGACCAGACGATTTCCAAGGTGCTCTTGTGGGACCCGAGGATGCTCCTGGAAGGATGTGCACAGAGGAAGGGAACATCCTTCTGAACAAAGGGCGCAAAACCATCAGCCTTTGGGTGGCCAGCCGCTGTGATAGGCCGATTCAGATCGGCAGTCATTACCACTTCATTGAGGCAAACAAGTATCTATTCTTCGATCGGGAGAAGGCGTATGGGATGCGGTTGAACATCCCCTCTGGCACTGCTGTGCGGTTCGAGCCGGGCGAGGCGAAGGCGGTCACTCTTGTCACAATCGGCGGCTCGCAGGTCATTCGAGGCGGCAATAATCTTGCAGACGGTCCGGTGTGTCCTGAAAATTTGGAGAAAGCGTTGAAGAACGTTGCTGCGAATGCATTTGGACATGCTCCGCAGGATAACGCAGACGTAGGCGAGAATGCGGAAGGGAACCCTCACGCTCTGTGGATCAGCCGTGAGCGATACGCTGCGCACTACGGTCCCACGGTTGGCGATCGTGTGCGTCTGGCAGACACAGATCTTTATCTATCAGTGGAAGCTGACTATGCCGTCTACGGAGACGAGTGCAAGTTCGGGGGGGGAAAGGTCCTCCGCGATGGAATGGGTCAGATGGCAGGGTTACCAACAGGCATGGCGGGTACAACGACGATGCTCGGCGCAACTGCCGTTCTTGATTGCGTCATCACAAATGCTTTGATTGTGGACTACACAGGAATATACAAGGCAGACGTGGGTATCAGGGGGACAAAGATCTGCGGCATTGGGAAAGCGGGAAACCCTGATGTGATGGATGGGGTTACTGAGGGAATGGTCGTTGGCGTGAACACCGAGGCCATTGCCGGCGAGGGGATGATTCTGACGGCCGGTGGAATCGACGCGCACATTCACTTCATATGCCCCCAGCTTGCGGAGGAAGCAATCAGTGCAGGATTAACAACAATGATTGGTGGGGGCACAGGCCCTGCGGCGGGTTCACGTGCCACCACATGCACACCTGCTGCAGAACACGTGCGGCTCATGCTGCAAGCAACGGACAGTCTGCCTCTAAACATGGGCTTCACTGGCAAAGGAAACACGTCCTCCGAAGAGGGGCTCCACGAAGTCGTACATGCTGGGGCTATCGGGCTGAAGCTCCATGAGGACTGGGGATCCACTCCAGCGGCAATCGATACCTGTTTGTCTTTGGCAGAACTCTATGACATTCAAGTCACTATACACACGGACACACTTAATGAATCCGGATGTGTGGAAGACACCGTCGCGGCATTCAGAGGGAGGACGATTCATGCGTACCATAGCGAGGGAGCGGGCGGTGGCCATGCACCAGACATCATCAAGATATGTGGGCAGGAGAATGTGCTCCCGTCGTCGACTAACCCGACAAAACCGTTCACTGTGAACACCATCGACGAGCATCTCGACATGTTGATGGTCTGCCATCATCTCAACCCAGATATCCCCGAGGATCTTGCCTTCGCCGAGTCGCGTATAAGAAAGGAGACCATTGCAGCAGAAGATATTCTCCATGACCTGGGGGCCATTAGCATCATGTCTTCGGATTCACAGGCGATGGGCCGAATCGGCGAAGTTATCACCAGGACATGGCAGACGGCGCATAAGATGAAAATCCAGCGGGGGCAGCTAGAAGAAGACAAGAAGACTGCGGCAGACAATTGCCGGATCAAACGTTACATTGCAAAGTATACAATAAATCCCGCAATCGCTCACGGAATCTCCCATCTTGTGGGATCGGTAGAGGTAGGGAAGATGGCAGACCTTGTGCTCTGGAGGCCCGAGTTCTTCGGAGCGAAGCCGGAGATGGTGATCAAAGGGGGTGCCATCGCTTATTCCCAGATGGGCGATGCAAATGCAAGCATACCGACTCCCCAGCCAGTGCTTATGAGGCCAATGTTTGGCGCGATCGGGAAAGCAGTCGGCGAGCGCTCTTTTGCACTTGTGAGCAAGGCAAGCATTGATGCGAATGTGGCGACCTCCTATGGACTTGGAAAGCAAGTGGAGGCTGTCAAACGGTGTCGTGGGTTAAAGAAGCAGGATATGAAATTGAACTGCGCACTCCCAATTATGGAGGTTGACCCAGAGACGTACGAAGTGAAGGCAGACGGCGTACCCCTTGTGTGTAATCCAGCTCAGACTTTGCCATTGGCACAGAAGTACTTTCTGTTCTGAGTGCTTGGACAGTCCTGCGACTGCGTACTGGCTGAGCTGTCGTTTGTCACAGGAAGTGACCAGGCTAACTGATGATGACCGCATGCGCTCTTTCACACTCAGGCTGTTGGAGGAGGCGCAGCGGTGATGACAGTCTTGCATTCATTGTGTGGAGAAGCAGATCACACTAGTAGTCATGGAAACTGGCAATCAGATGGCGTCTGGACTCTTTTTTTTTTTTTTTGAGTGTTTGTATAGATGTCAGCGGGCCGAGCGATGTGTAATGATCCTACTATCCCTCGAACCTGGCATGCAGTCGGCACTTCAAGCAGGCCACAGACAGTGTGGAGATGAGCGCACTGACATGATCGATTGCTGGAAGTAGGAAACAGATGTTTATAGCACTGATCCGAGAAGGGAAGAGACATCTGTAGCGCTGACGCAAGAAACGATTTGAAGGAAGTGTGGATTGCCGACTCGGCACATGGTGGAAGCAGAGGTGGGAGCGGAGGAGGTGGAAGAGGTGGTGTGGCATCTTTTTTTTTTGCCCTTCCCTACTAATGATGATGGACGGAGGAGGTGGAAGAGGTGGTGTATCCTCTGTTTTGCACAACTGCCATAGCTGAAGCACTGACCGACTGGCTTCCCTACTACTCTAGCGATGACGGATACCTGTCTGAAGATCGCACCCCATGCATGGAGGTCGACATTGTACCTTCCCCCCCCCCGTTTTTTGCGCGTGTTGTCAGGTTGTGGTCGTCAGAAAGGTGTCCAAATTCATAGCAACAAGTGAAGACTACCGTGCAGTTCAGTCGTCTCCCGTCGTCCTCATTCTGTTGACGAAATGGTCACAACGGAAGAGAACCTGTGTCGACAACGGGAGCGAGAGACGAAGACCTGGCCCTGTTCGAATAGTTGGTGCGGGACTGACTGGCGTGGCAAGGGGACCATGGGTGCTACCTGTCGGATGCGTGAGTGGTAGATAAGCAAGCACGTAGAGCCATTGCTTCACAGGTCCAGAGATCAAATCCTGTGACATCTACTTAAGCGCATTAGCGACTATCCCCTTCAAAAAACGTTATGGGCATGTTTTGCTCCTATCTTTGGTTTCTTGAGTAAAAAAGTTGACTTGCCTTTTTTGCCGTAGCTTACGATTGGAGATACCCAAACTTTCTGGCAAACTCTGTGTAGGGCACTGTAGGCAAATACCAGGGACTGAATAACCAAATATCAGTTTGCATTGCGAACTCGTCCCCACCACCGCAACTCTCGGGGCCGGGCTGCCGTTGACAAATTTCATCAATGGCCTTTGTCGCGATTCCAGAGTCCGAAAGTTGCGGCGAGGGGCCCGAGGCTGATGTATTGCCTTGTGCTGGTGGTTTAATACTATTAAAATACTATTAAATTATTAATAGGAATTAATACCATGCCGTCTACTGTAACACGAATTCCTCGGCCTCTTGCCGGTTTCCCAGCTCGTGAAACTTGGCCAGAGAATTTAAATTTCCACAGAGTTTCAAGACCAAAGCATTATCAGGTCCTATTGGTCTTGTCCATGCTCTCTGTGCTCTCTGTGTCCACATAATCAGTCTTATCCATGCTATATAGCTGCTTGAACTTCCTATAGACTTAGCTTCTGAGCTTCCTATAGATAGGCTTAGCTGCTGAGCTTGCTATAGCCTTAGCTTCTGAGTTTCCTTGAGATCAGGCGTCTAAGATTCCTATAGCCTTTAGCTGCTAAGCTCTCTCTATAGGCTTGGCTGGTTGAGCTTCCTATAGACTTAGCTTCTGAGCTTCCTATATATAAAGCTTAGCTGCTGAGCTTACTATAGTCTTAGCTCCTGAGTCTAGCTTCCAAGATTTCTATAGCCTTAGCTGCCAGGCTCTTCCTATATGCTTGGCTGCTTGAGCTTCCTATAGACGTAGCTTCTGAGAGTCCTAATAGACTTGGCTTCTGAGCTTGCTATAGCCTTAGCTTCTCAGCTGGCGGCTCCACCCATTTTGGTCTGGTTGCCTTGGAGCCACCAAAATTTCAGTACAGTCTCCATCGCAATCCTTTTTTTTTTTTTTTTTTTTTTTTGTGTGTGTGTGGCTGGAATCGTGTACTTGAAGGTGGTTTAAATAAACTTAAACAGTAATTACTAATTACTAATTAGCACTGCCAATTTCCCCGCTGTCCCTCCTTTTCCTTTTCCTTCCTCTTTCTGTGTCCGAGTCCTCGGAAGCGCTGGCGCCATTCTTGTGATCCCCTAAGCGGACGTGGATGCATTCCCCCCCCCCCMCCCCCCCCCGCCCCCTCGAAGTGGGGAGTCTGTCATCCGCTAATTATAATTATAAATTTGTAGATATTTTCTCTCTCTGTGAGATGCACGCGGTGACGTGGACGCATATTGTATAAGTGTTTTTTAACTCTCTGACTGTCCGAGCGCTGATTGCAGGAGCCACGGCCATCACTGCACAGATTAGTCCTATATATATGAGTCGGTGAAACTCCGACGAAACAGTTTGTCACAGCCCCTCGTTTGTTGTCCTCTTCTCCCTCTCTGCCTACGGTTTACCGTAGGCAGTTCTATTTGACGATATATATATTCTCCCTCTCTGCCCAGAAAAGGAAAGCAGGGATAGCCAAGGATCTTGTTTCTGCATGGGACTGTGAAGTTCCTTTCCTTATTAGGAATGCCACCTTTGATAGATACCTTGCATGGGACTTTGAAGTTCCTGCCTTTTTAGGAAAATGAAAGCAGAGGTAATCTGAGTTGACTGATGACTGACAAAACCTGAGATGCCTGTCCGTCAGAACCGCCAATGTGCTCGTCGACTAATTTTCTGTGTGCTGGCGCCGGTCTTTCTACGTTTTTGGCACTCGGATGTGCTCGTCCACTGATTTTCTGTGTGCTGATGTGATACTCAGACTGGCTCTGCGATGCTATCCTTCGGCTATGCAATGCTATGCTGAAGTATGCGAACAGTATGCTGGAGTATACGATGTTATGCTTGTTATGCTGGAGTATACGATGTTATGCTGGAGTATGCAATACTATACTGGATTATCCGATGCTATGCTGGCTGTGCCCTTTGATGCTATCCTGTGCTATGCAATGCTATGCTGGCAATGGAAGGCTATCCTTGGCTCGTCTACGAGTTTTCTGTGTGCTGATGTGATCCTTAGACTGGCTTTGCACACACGTGGTTAACAGGGGTGTTATTTTCGGCGAATTTTGCACTGAAACTGTCATATTGCCCTGATTTTTTTGCTTGCTTCTTTTCTTGATTTTTTTTTTTTTTTTGTGTGTGATATGTATGTGTTTTAGGGTGGTACATCGTGTATCCAGTTTTATCATATTTGGACCAATAAAAAAATGGCAATAATGACAAAGTTGGCACTTCGTTGAACGCTCGAGTGTTTCTGTGATAGGGTTTTATAGTCTTTTAGAGTTTTTGTGCGTTTTCTTTTGCCCGTTCGGTCTATCCTTCGGCTACGCAATACTATGCTGCACTATGCGACAGAATGCTGGACTGTATGATGTTATGCTGGAGTATGCAATACTATGCTGGGTTCTCCAGTGTTATGCTGGCTGTGCCCTTTGATGCTATCCTGTACTATGCAATGTTATGCTCACTGTGCCCTTTGATGCTATCCTGTACTACGCAATGGTATGCTCACTGTGCCCTTTGATGCTATCCTGTACTATGCAATGCTATGCTCACTGTGCCCTTTGATGCTATCCTGTACTATGCAAAATGCTGGCTATACAATGCTATCCTGTGCTATGCAATGCTATCCTGTGCTATGCAATGCTATGCTGGCTATGCAATGCTATGGTGGACTAGAGATAGTAGGGAGTACTATGAACTGTGTTTGCAATCTTATGCTGGATCAGAGGATGAACTTGCTATGTACGACTATGCAGCACTATCTTATGCTGGATGGAAGGATGAACTTTCTATGTAACACTCTGCTGCACATTATGTAGTACTGTCTATTGCTGAGCACTGCCATGTTATGGTGGGCTATGCAATGCTATGCTGAGTAATGCACTGTATCGGTGGTGTATAAAGTAGCAGGCGGCTAAAGCTGCAGTGCCATTCTACAGAACCAGGCTAGCAAAACCTGTGCTATAGCTGAAGAGTCAAGAGTTACAGACAGCAACTCTGTAGGCAAAACAAAGCCACACTAAGCCTGGCAAGGGTAGGCAAAACAATATTTCACTATCACAGATGGTAGCGATCGGCTACAGCAGTACTCGGACTATGTAAGTGTTTTTTTTTTTTTTTTTTTTTTCGTTAGTATGACAGTGCTACCCTTAGGTGAGGCAAGGCTATGCGACACAGCGCTTGCTTTTCAATCATGCTAGCTATATAGGCTATAGAAGTGCTCAGCTATTGAACTGGTGGGTATGACAGTGCTCTCCCTGGGTTATAGGCAAAGTTAGGCTATAGAAAAAAGTGCTCAGCTATTGAACTGGTGGGTATGACAGTGCTAACCCTGGGTCAGGCAATTTTTTTATAGACAGAAGAGTTATTTTCCATTCACACTTAAAGACAGTGGTACCTATCGACGTCACCATCATCATCGCCATCATCATCATCATCATCATCATCATCATCAGTTTGTAATCATAGGGGCTGTTGGTGCTGCTCTTTGGTATGATCATCATCATCCCCTATAGGCTAGACTATCCCTAAGTAACTTTGTATAGAACGATCTTCTTCCGCTACCGTGCCACCTATAGGCGGCTATAGCCGTGCTCAGCTATTTGAAGTTTGAACTGAACTGGGTACGAACGATAGCGGATAGCGTTGCGTGCACAGGTCGGTAAGGCAAAGTTAGGCAAAACAAGATTCTATACAGGCGTGTGGTCCCTGTATGGACTAGCACGCTGCGCCCTATTAGAGTGCCGCCGTACCTAGTCTGAGGACTAGCACGCTCACACTACAGCAGTGCTGTACGTACAGTTCCACTTCCATTTTTTTGACCAAGTACGATGAATAGTCAGTTGCAAGAAGCCGCTAGGATGCTGACGCTTGGAGGAGCGGAGGTGGTATTTCAGTTCTGGTCTATCCTGTGCACATCCGTTCAATTGCATATCGCACAAATCCTTCTCCTTGTGCGCGTTATAGCTCTCGTCTTTCTAGTCGGTTGTCATCTGGTCAAGCTGCTTGTGGTTGTGATATGGGATCTCTTACAGCTGATATACTTCACACACGTAACGTTGCTCCTCCTGCACTTGCGATTCTTTGAGATGTTCCTGCATGTTCATACTCTCTGGCTGGTTTTCCTCCATCCTCATCTCCTCAGACTGTTGTTTAGCGTAGTTGCAGGACCGCAAGTGAAGTTGGTGTGCCGTCGGATACAGGCAAGAATACGCCGAGCAACGCAGCTCGCAGCAGCTGCCATCCCTGATTCTTTCTCCTGACACGCGTATATCTCACCAACACACACAAGTTCGGTGAAGCGGTCTGGCACGGTCATGCTTTTTTTTTTTCTTTTTTTTTCTTTTCTTGTGGAGTTGTGTACTCTTGTGTGCCTGCGTTTCCTTCACCATATCAGCTCCTCAAGCTGTTGTTTGGTGTATAAGTTGCAGGACCGCGAGTGAAGTTGGTGTGCCGTCAGATTCCGGCAAGAATACGCTGATCAACTGAGCCGGCGGCTGTCGCCACTGATGCTTCATCTTGAAGCATGTATCTTACCAACACATACAACTTCCGCAAAACTTCCACGAAACGGTCTGGCACGGTCTTTCTTTTTTTTTTGTGTGTGTGTGTAGAGTTTAGAGTTTAGCGAACGTGGCGAAGCACACAAGGTTCAAACTCCTCTTCGATAAGTCGGCGACAGAGTTTCGATGTAACAATCAGTCACAGTCAGACCTCTTCTGTGGAGTTGTGCTTAGCAGCACTCAATAGTAAATACACAACATACATATTACATTTTGAGAAATGGTTTTTTGAGAATGATTTTTTGACACATTAGTGTGATCGACAGCGGAGGATCTCCTGTTACATCATGTAGCAGTCGAGCAGTGATGCGCTCCTCCGCTTTTTTTTTTTTTCTTCGTTCTATGAGGTTCATGTCGTCTTATTGTTCTTAGTTGGGGAATATCTCAGCAGCGTGCATGTGTGTGTGTGTAGAAGTGCTGTCCATGCCTTGTACTTGTTGAGTAGAGGCTGATTAAAGCTTCTGCAGTTGTTGAGATTGTGTTAGATAAATTTCACATCAAAGAGGCGTATCCGTAGTATGGATAGAGGGAGGGTGGTACCGAGGAGGGGTATACGCACGGTGCTGTGAGGAGAATGGACGCCTGTAGTACTTAAAACTGCCAGCACTTCGCCCAGCCTTTTTTTTTTCCCGACGTGGCTATTAACGCGCCGCACGTTTCGCAGATCATCGGCCTACTGGAGCGAAACGGCTGGCGGCGCCCCAGCCAAAAGGAGGCACGCTCGTGCCGGTTCGGCTATTTTTTTTGGTGCGCAGTGCGTTTTCAGCCTCTCAGGAAAAGGAGGCTTGCAAAAACTAGGTGTTTAACAAATGAGTGGAGGGGTGGTGTGTTCTGTGTGACATCGGCAGCGAGCTCAACATCAGCATCAGAGGTAAGCTCCATGTCAGCTGTTTTTTTTTTTTTTTTTTTTTTGAAATTAAAGCCCCCAATGTCAGCTGTAAGCTCCAAATCAACAGCAAACTCCACGTTGCATCGAGAGAGTGGTCCCCACCACCACTGCTCTAGGAAACCTGCCTATCATCCTGCCTATATAGTATATAGTATATTATGTGTGTATAGTATCTCTATATATTATACAATAATTGATTAAATTATTATTAGTTTCTATCATCGCTATGACCCAGCTTGAGGATGTTGTTTCTTTGACATGGAGCTTACCGCTGACGTTGAGCTCGCTGACATGGAGGTTACTGCGGATGTGGATGTGTAACCGAGGCCGGGGCGGGATATGTGGAGGATGACATCTCTAAGGTTTTGCGTGGAGCTCCCGGTCCCCGGATTCGCGGACGTTTTTGGTCGCTGCGAGTATGCCTCGTCAGTATTACAGTACTATTACTCCAAGTGTTTGCTTGGTTAAATAAATAAACTTAAATTATTAAGTTAAATATCTTCGAAGTTTGAACTTTGAAGTCAAATCTTTTTGAAGTTGGAACATAAAACTTGACAAAAAAAAATTGCCGGCATCTTCTGCTTTGCATTTTTATTTTTATTTTTAGTTTTAGCGAATTGCTCGCATCTGACACCCGACCTTATTCGATACATTTCGGTTGGCCATGGATCTCTGAATTATTAATAGGTAGAGGTCACGGTCAGAGTCACAGTCAAATGAGCAGCAGCATTTCGAATGAATATGGCTGTCGCTGCGGCCCGGGTGCATGCATGCCCAGGAAGTTAGTGTGAGTATGTGCTTGAGAGTATACTCACACCAGAACTATTTTAAATTTATTTGAGGCTTTTCTGAGCATAATTATGGCCCATACCTGGACGTATCTGACTGCAATTACAGCCACAGTTCAGTCGAAAAAGTCATAGTGCGAGTATGCCCTCAGTTACTGCCTGATTACAGATATCGCATGCTGCTTGTGTTTCTTAACATGCGCACACAAATACACACACACACACACACACACACAAAAAAAAAAAAAAACAAAAAACAAACAGTTTTTGTGTTGTGGCCCTTGTGGGTGGGCGGGCAGAAGCCGCAGAACTCTGCGACATTTTTTGAAGCACCCGGGTTCGTGTTGAAGTGTTCATCCTCTGGAGGAGACGCAGTGGGCAGGGCCAAGAAGTAAGGCCCAACCTCCTTGATGCTTATCTTCTGTTGTAGACAACCTCATTACATATGGTTAGTTATGCTCTGTTTTGAACTCTTTTGCAAATTACTTGGGGGGGGAGGGAAGGGTTGGGGACGGGGGGCGGTCTGCAAATCAGGGTTTATGTTGCGGGTTGCCAGAGGGGTCCGATCTGTTTGAGAATCTGATCTTTGAAGTGGCCATGCACGATGGCGAGCGCAGTGTAAGATGGTGGAAGTGCCTTCTTCAGAGGGGAAGGGAGGGAGGTGGAGGGAGTGGGTCAATGATCCCATCACTGGAGGGGAATCGTGTGGAGGAGAGTCGATGACGAGGAGGATGCCGGCGGAGACGAAGCCGAATGAGCAGCAGCCACAAGGCGACATCGGCTTGAAGATGAGGTCAGATCTGCAGGCAGACTGGTCTGTCGGCCGAAGCCCCTTAGCTTTGGCATTAGGGTTCGGCGACCAGTCCTTGTCGGTGTGTGGGCGGATGGAGTTCTCGTGCATGGCTGGTAGAACAATTGCCACTTGTTTGTTCTCGACTTACCCGTTGAAGCTCATGGTGGCGAGAAAACTTCCGAAGCAGTCTGTCGATGCCGTCTGGGTGTATGCGATCACCTATGGCGGAGGTATCGTCTCGGGCGACCATATCTCCTTTACGCTGGATGCGGGGGGCAAGTCCACAGTTGTTCTGACGACGCAAGCGTCGACAAAGGTCTACCGGTCGCTGCCGGAGAAGATTGCTCAGCAGAGTATGAAAGTCGTGGTGCAAGATGGGGCGTTGCTCGCGGTCCTGCCGGATCCCGTTGTGTGTTTCGAGAAGAGCAGGTACGTTCAGAAGCAGCACTTCTCGCTGTCGGGTGATGCCAGCCTGGTCCTCGTCGATTGGCTAACGAGTGGGAGGAGAGAACGAGGGGAAGTTTGGGCTTTCGATGCCTACCACAGCGAAAACAGGATCTTGAATCTGGATGGGAGACCGATTGCATTTGACGTTGTGCGCCTGGCTCAAGGACCTGCACTGACAGTCTCACAAAGAATGAAGAACATGCACGTCATCGCACTCATCTTCCTGTATGGGCCAAGGGCGAGAGCCGTGTCCGCACACATGCAGAAGACTGTCCAGACAGTTGCAAAGTCCGCTTTTCGGAGGATCTCTGCGAGACATCATCAGCCGACGTCTCTAGGATCACGCCACTTGGCAGTGGGAGCCTCGCATAATCAGCCACGTACGTCATTGTCACCGTCATTATCGTCATCGTCATCGTCGCCGTCATTGTCTTCGCCGTCCACCTCCTCCTCCTCCTCCTCTTCCTCCTCCTCTTCCTCATTGCTGCATCCTGTTGCCCCTTCGGTGCTGACGTCAGTGTCCAGCTCAGCTTTGTTAGGTAAGTCATCAGTATCCACATTGCCACCACCATCAAGTCAGCAGTCGTCGTCGATGTCCTTGGGGCTACCTTCTTCGTCATTATCTTGTCAGAATGCCGGCTACGGTTCTCCTAGCGGGAGGGAGGTGCGCTGTTCTCCGTCTTCTTCTTCTTCTTCTTCTTCTTCTTCTTCTTCTTCTTCTTCTTCTTCTTCTTCTTCTTCTTCTTCTTCTTCTTCTTCTTCTTCACCCTCGTCGTTTTCTGTTCAGGGCCCAACGCTGCTTGCGTCGTGCAGTCCGATCGGGAAGAATGGTCAAGGTCTGCTGGTTAGGATAATCGGCGAGTCGACTGCTGCTGTCCATTCTTTCCTAAGAGAGAGCCTGAAACCCTTGGCTTCTCAGTTAGGAGCATTTCCATATGCTGGAGACTCAGCTGTGTAGGATTTCCCCCCTGCCCCCCTCCCCCCCCCCCCCCCCCCCCCTTTTCTTTTTGGAAAGTTTTTGCAGGGGATGCAGCTGGGTAAGGACTTGTTTTCCTTTTTTGTTTTGTTCATCGTGTAATTCAGCTGTGTAAAAATTGTGCCTGTTCACATCACAGGACAGGCAAAACACTCCCCTCTCCTCCTGAAGGAAGAATTCCATCTTGATCCACTATTCACTTTGCTCCGTTGCTGCAGCACAATCAATAATACGATCAATCAAATCAAAATTGAAAATAATGATTAGAATCATTAGATGAATTTAAAATTTTAAATCAAATTACAATTAAAATGATTAAATCCATGCCACATCATGCCTTTGCATGATCATGGCTGGGTTGCAACTTGCCAGCTCTCATTGAAACATGCACGAGTAACCATCGACATCAAAGTCAAAGTCAAAGTCAAAGTTGACCGAAACTGTGGCAGACAGACAGGTTTGCCAATACGAGATTGCGCAGCCGCGACATTTTTGTCGACAGAAATGGAAATTTAAATTATGTAATGAATGTACTAACAGAAGTATAAAAATCATTAAAACATTAGCAAGATCACTCAGCATTGTATATATTTTTTATCTTTTTTTTTTTTTTTAATATATATTTTTCCTGATGGAGTGGAATGGGGAAACTTTGGATTTTGCGGGTTGAATGAACAGACTGTATTTCTTTTTT